GCGGAACTCCTCGCCCTCGACGCCGCCGGGGAACAGATCGCTTGACCATAATGTCACCCATCAGGTCGCCCTTGAAGGCCGAGAAGTAGGCATCGTACACCTTCTCGATGTCGGGGATCAACGCGGGGAGGATGGCGTAGCTCATGGTGGGCTAGCTGTGGAACGCTCGCTGACAGTGAGGTATCTTTTTGTGGTGCGACTGCGATGTGGGTGGAATGCGAGGGGATCGGCAAGGCGATGGGTTGGGTATGCGTGTAGGGTCTCAGCTGAAGAGGAGTTCGTCCGACGGTGTCTCAACATCTACCATGCGGGTGGGTAGACGACTAAATACCGTCAACCTCAACCTAACCGCCTCATCCAGCTCCGCACATCCGCCTCGCGTCTGGTTCGAATCTTTCACCTCGAGCAAGGGAAGCAAGCCAGACCCCTCCTTTCTCGCCACGACTTCCTCCTTGGCCGTTGCTCATCGTACCCTCCCTCGCTTCTTCCTGCTGGTCTTGGTCTGGGTTCTGGTCTGGGCGCAACCGTCGGGACTGAAGAACGCCACTATGGAACAGGGCGAGCACAAGCGGGTGCGCCATCGCGGAGTGCGGCGGCCGAGGTAGCCCAGCGGCAGAGCCCTGTCGAACGAAGAGCCCGCCAAGCGGCCTACCAAGAATGGTGGGTCTCCCAGTTTTGCCCTCCACCCCTTCTTCTTCCTCGTGTCGGCAAAGGTGAGCGTGAAAATTACCCGCTCGACAGAGTTATCAGATTGTGAAAACCACCTTCCTTACCAGGGAACCCTGTACAAGGCGCGCCTCGTGTTGTATGTATGAGTTCCGCCGGCTTGTGAGTGGGTTGGCGCCACGCGTGCCTAATCTGGTCTGGTCATCCGGACTAGCCTCGCCAAGACAGATTATCTGATCCGCTCTTGGTGCCGTTTGTCCATGTCCTACATTCGGCGGTCCGGTCACCCCTCCGGAGCGGACGCCATATTGGGCCGAATGACCTTAGCGAAGGGTGGAACGTTGGAGTCTTGGGTCTGACGCTTGCAGAATGTGGCTTGCAGGACCGCCGTGTGGAGGGGGCACAACCATGTGCCTTGCGTCCGCCGAGGCTTTATCCTCACTCGCCTTTTCTTCCCTTCCCATCACACTTTGACTGTTTAGGGCCAGGGTACGAACGCCTCCCAGGATTCGAGGCCCATGATCTACATGGCGATGGCTCAGTTGAAAATTGTTGTCGCTACTTGAACCTCTTGGCACTCACACATGTTGACATCGTGTAATTGCTGACTGACACATAGGCAAGCGCCAAGTAGTCTGAACTGACAGAGTCATGCATATACCTGCATAGTCGAAAGAAGCAATGCAATCGCAGCATGGTACAGAAACTTGTCCATTCGATCTTCCGTCTAGCCGAGGACTGGTACCTGCCATTTTGCATCGCTTCACGCCCTTCAGCCCTGGCGCCTCGCCCAGCTGACTATCCACCCTGTATCAGGTGATTTCTGCCGATCTCGCCCGTTCCGATCGTGTCCGTCGTGATCGAGCCCTCACCACCCCTCCCAGGGAGGAGTACCACTATGAACCCTAGATATCCACCTTCGGGACGCCCGCCGTGCTGGGAACATGGGCTACGGCGGGCCGCCGAGCGGCTGGACTCCCTTGCTTACGAGGGGCCAACAGAACCCAACTTGGCGGCGAGGGCCTTGATGGGGGCTGGGCTGATGCTGTGCAGCTCGCTCGGCACCTAGCTGGTTCTTGGTGATGGTGGGCTAGTGGCAACGTGGCGCGAGGGCACGTTCCGGACGGGTGAACGTGGACATGGGGCTGGTAGCCTAATGTTTCCCCACGAGCTCTATGCTCGTCGGTAGTCTCAAGCCATAAATCCTTCGATTTGTCTATGTATGTTCTGGGCAATCCTCCAGGCAAGTTCTTCTCATCGGCCGAGATATATTGGATAGCTCGGCGCCGAGGGCTTTGAATTGAGCTGTTTCTCGACGGTAATTGTTCCGTTGAGATGTCCTTGCTGTGGCGCCCACTACGGATCGACACTGGTCTTTGAGTGACAGAGGCCTCCTGACCTTCACACTTGAGATCAAGCGATGTGAAGAGCCGACTGTATGGTGTGGCACCATTTGTACGATACACGCCCGTTCAAGATGCGCAAGTCCACCAATCCAGGGTTTCGACACTCGGTTCTGGCCCACCAGTCTTCACTCACATCTTGCATCTAGACCTTGCTCATGTTACAGGACATGTGCCCAGTAACCATGTGCCAGCCATAACCATTAAGTGTGCTAGGGGTACAACATCACATATACCCACAATACCTTGAACACCCCCCTTGGCTGCCAATGAACAAAGGAGCCATACCCTTCTAGGCCTTACCCTCCGGCCCGCTGCCGCTGCAGGGCAGCAGATCTACACGCCATGCCCCGACGACCCCGAAGAGACCGGGGTCTCCGGGAGTCTCGGCGCCCCGGTTCCCCGGGTCCTCAAGCCCGCGTGCCAACCGCACTAACTTGTCTTGGGTAACATATCCCGGCCGAGGCCGTCTTTCACTTTTCGAATGCAACCCCGAGACACGGACCTTCCTAATTCGATGGGGTGCGACATTGGCCGTTGGCGCATTATCATGTATGTTCGAGCATTGGACTCGAGCTTAAAGTGCTTTAGGTTTTTCGACGACTGTAGATCGACGGAGTTTTGAGCATGCCGTTGAGAAGTGGATTCGTGGTTTCCGTCACCTCTCATCATGTGACCTGTTTACCAGCGTACCGAAGGAGATTTGTGAGGCTCGACTAGTAGAGGTAGTTGCTAAGGATACATGCGCTATTGATTGAAAAGTATCCTCGTGGGAAGTCATGACAAGCCCCGGGGACTGTCAAGCCTCCGAAACCAACTCTGCCTTCACGCTGCGGATGAAATCTGTTACCGGATCTGCAGGAAATATATTGCACCCCCCCGGCCCTCTCTTGGTTCTGTATCAGGAAAGAAATGTCATCCGGATGCAAATTAAGGTTTTCGGAGTATGTCTGGCCGGAGGTTTTGTATGGAAGCCGAAGCCCCCGTGGAACTCCAGATAAAGATGGATTGGGAGACGATCTTCGTCACTCAGCCTCCCGCCAGCTTGTCTTTCTACAACCAGCATGTGAAAGAATATTTATCGATGTGCTTGCTCCTACGACGTTGGCCGAATGGATGCGGTAATTGGCTTACAAGCCAAATTTGTGAAACTTTCGTAGCCAGCAGAGTACCAAAGGAAACTAACGCGAACCGGATCAATGACTATTCTAGAAGAGTCCGATGCACAAATCGCGTGTACCGATCATTCTCAGCTCAGCGGCAGCAAAATTTCCATGCACATCACTTTTTTCGAGTTGTATGGATACTAATTCACCTCGCAGTCCGGCATCTGGCTTCGGCATCTCGGCTCGCCTGCGTGGCCCGCTCGTTTCAGCATCTACCGGTGTGTCTTCACAACAATGCCAGCAGTATGAGGAGATACCTCGCAGCGTCGACTCCGCCGTCAGCCACTGGGTCGAGCGCAGAGGCATACCCGAGCTCTGTAACTTGCAGTTGCAGCCATCGTCTGCAGCGTTTTCGGATGTTCGGAGACCTCGATCGATAGTGTTCGCCTCTCACGGATGACCTTTTGTGCAGTCCGCCTTGCGGTCGCCTTGAGGTTTGTCATGGGCTCCTATCATATCATCGGAATACGACTCTTGAACCATTTGCCTCCCATCACAAGTCAGCTTTTCACTCCAGATATCTCAGCTCATCGACAGTCTTGTATTTGCATTGCCTTGTAATCCAGCTTTCGGTAACCATGTTGAAACTTCAGCATTTGAGCAAGAAGAGGCTTAATGAGGCGCAGTGCCATGACGCGCAACACCTGTCTCGCTTGACTGAGAAGCGGTTTCTTGGCTAAGCGAACGCGAAGACGGCAAGTATCGTTTCTCATGAGAATATTCTTCTTTTGGACATTCTTCATGATGCCAAGGATTCAGCAGAGCGGCCGAACTAACACCATATAATTGTCAATTGAATCCAATGACGCGATACACAAGCATGCAAGGGACTGTGTCAAACCGGTACGTAGACATTGTCGAAGGCCAGCCAAAGCATATTGGGCGGAGGCAATACGACAAGAGATACGACCTGCTGCATAAGTATATTCACAACAAGGTCTAGGAATGATTCATCTTTGAATGCCGCAAGCGATGCCGAACGGAGTATATGGAAGCACTGATGCTATGGCATATTCTTTTCAGGATTTCGCGTGTGGACCGACCTAAATGGGGACATCTCTTCGACCTCTTCTTACGACACCGAAGCCTCTCACTGCGGTCTCTCCAATTGAACTTTGCCTCCTGGAACGTGTGCAGACGAAGCTGCAGAGTAAACGGTCTGCCCACCCAAGGCCCTGAGAGGCTTCATGCCTCGTGGTGCACAGTGGCTATTGCATACGAGCTTATGATGTCTTCGAAGAATGCGACAGTTGATAAGTGAGCCTTATCTTGAACTGTATCTCGGCTACCCAATCTCATCACGGGGTCCCCAAATTGTGCCTCGCTGCGTCAGGATCATGCCATAGCGAGTCACCTTCAATTTAGTAAAAGCCAAATTGTCCTTTTTGTCAAAACTTTGGTGCCGGATCCAACGATTCCGTCTCGGGCGAAAGGCTCAACCCTAGCTTGCCTCTACATGCTGCGGTCGCAGTCGCGGTTGAAGTCGACATCGTCAGACTCTTTTGCACCGGGGTTTCGGCCAACCCTCCCCGACTCGGATTCGTAAAGCAGAAGTGAGCTATGGGCTCGGAGTCGGCTAAGCACAAGCCCAGCCCCATTGGAAGTACAGCGTTGAGAACGCCCGCACAGAGACTGGCGTGCTTGCTCGCGTGCAAATAAGGAAAAAAAAGACCGTTCATGCCTTGGCAAGCGACACGAGTACGCAAATGTCAGTTCGGGTGCTTGGAAAAAATCACACGTGGGCAGCTTGATTTCGCAGCTCCATTGTGGCGCAGATCAATCAGCATTGCAAAAAGAGGCCCCGAAAAGCTAAATTGATGAAGGCAGATGACAATTCCTCCACCTCTGTCGGGGATATACGCATGACGACGAGTCAGGGGTGGCCCAAAGATAGAAGATTCACAGAACCGTGCCTCGTCCCAAAACAACGGGAACTGAAGCCCTAATCAGTTCGTCTACTCTATCTGTAATGAGCGTATCTAGGCCTTGGTTCGTTTCATGCTCTGCGAACTTTAGGGCAACCCAGCGCGACATGTTTGCGATTGGTCGTTTGCACTCGAGGGCCAGTCTGTGCTTGGGGACGGAAATGTGTGCGACAAACCAACCCAGGGGCATTCCGTCGATTGAGCACTCTGTTGGTCAAAGGCTGGCATCATTGCAGCTGCCGACGGAAGACCCGACAAGTAGTGATCTAGGTGACATAGTCGTCGTCGTCGTCGTCAGCAGCAGTGTCGCCAAGACCAGGCATACAGCCAGAGAGCCTTTCTCCCTGCCTCAATCACGGGCCCGTCGCAGCAAGTGACAAGCACAGCGGGCGTACAATCATCTGCCGGGGTCCAGGCAGCAAGAAATCAACAATGAAGGCCTCTTGGCATGGCATTGGTGCCAAGACGCAATCATCTCAAGTCGGCCACAAGTGTGAGGGGAAAATGGAGGCTCAAGTCGCCTGGCAACACTTGAGCACCGCTCAAAGCCAAGGCCACAGGAACAAAACGAACGAGGGGCAGTGCAGAGAACACAAGCGCCAAGACCCTGCGATAGTGGACAGACTCAAAGTGAGCTCATTCCCACGACACTGCCCCCTAGACTGCCGCCCCGCTAGTCGTGTCCTAGACCGATTATCCCAGGATGCCCCTGGACTGACAGGTACCGAGACCATGTCCTATTGGCTCCCCCACAGCCTTTTTACTCGAAGAACCCGACGGTTCAGGACCGCACAGCTGACGCGCTAGGTACTCTGTGGTGCCAGTTGTCCGGGGCCCGCGATGTTGGGCATTGCAGATTGGATTGACTGCCAGACCACCATGGAATCTGCCGGGTCGGCGGGGATCGTAGAGAGCGCTGTGCTGAAGCTTCGTCGTCCATGCTGCTCTTTGCCTGTAACATGGGATGAGGAGCTAAGGGCACAAGTCCACAGATCGCCCAGGGGTGGAGTTTATGCTGCCAAGACTGACAAGTCGTGTTGCGCGCGCGCGACCGCCTCGTGCGTGACGTTTGTCGCTGCTCCCCATTTCGCTCACATGGCAGGCAATGGAGATGAAGGACAAGGGGCGCCGCGTCGTGATGGCACCTCATCTTTGCCCACGATGACGATACTATAAGACGAGCGACGATCCTCGCTCTACTGACCTGCAACAGTCTCACCCGGCACACCAGTCTTCACCCATCTCCATCACATCTCAGCTTTGAAACATCCGATCAGCGTCTCAAGACCATAACTTTTTTGTCTATCACTTCAAACCCCACAAGTACCTTCGTACTCCTCCACCATGAAGTTCTCGATCCTCGGCGCCTTGGCTGCTGCCTCGACCGTGTTGGCCTGTCCCGGCCATGAAAATAGCGTGCCCATGGGCATCATGAAGCGTCAGGAGGGTGCGCCGCCGCCGCCTACCGACTGGGCCTACGAGGCATCCTTCAACTGGGGCCGCATCAACGAAAGTATGCGAGCTCCCTTCTCAGAGACGGCCAGCTCCGATACTAACATGCTCACCCAGACTACACTCTCTGCCAGACCGGCACGCAGCAGTCGCCCATCGCGCTGAGCCTCAGCAACGGTCTGTCTCTCAACCACCGGCCGACGTTCAACTACCCGACCAACGTGACGGGCAATTTCTTCAACTGGGGCTACGGGCCGGCCTTCACCATCACGCACCCCGAAGGCGTCTACACGGGCAACCCGTCCTTCACGTACGACAACAAGACGGTCTACATGGTCGGCTGGCACATCCACTCGCCGGCCGACCACACGGTCAGCGGGCGCCGCTCCAAGTCGGAGATCCACTTTGTGCACGTCGACGCCGCGGGCCACGAGGCCGCCGTGCTCGCCTTCCGCGTCGACCCCGGCACCGAGGACGATGCTTTCTTCACGCAGCTGCCGCCCATGATCGGCTTCAGCGAGACGGGCACGCACGTCGAGGCCACGCTCAACCTCAACCTTGCCCTCGACGGCGTCGCCCACTTCAACGAGTTCTGGACCTACCAGGGCTCTCTCACGAGCCCCCCCTGCCACGAGGGCATCCGCTGGTTCGTCGCCCGCCAGACCATGTTCGCCGGCGTCACGCAGATGCAGGCCCTTCTCGGCGCCAGCACGTACAGCGCGCGCGCCGAGCAGGAGGTCTGGCAGCACCGCATCAACGAGTAAGGGTCGCCGGCTGCGTTCTTCTCTTGGTTCTTGATCTTCTGGCTCTGGACGCCACGTTTGGCCTTCCATGTATATATCTTCTTTTTCTTTTTTTGCTTACCACGAAAATTGGTGCGAGCATTTTGTGTCCATAGCGCTGGCGGTGGGTGGGTGTAGAGGTAGAGGTAGAGGCGCAGGGGAGTGGTGTTAGGAGCAGGACAGCAGCGAATCACATTACTGACGCTGAATTGAGACTTGATTTTGTTTTCTCGATGTATTACAGTGCCTCAAAGGCGATATTGTTTATATGCACAAGTGGTGCTTTGCGGGTGAATATCGTATTCCCATCCCAGGGTGACGATGGGTTGAACCTCTGGGGGTGCCCTGAATGTCGGTTAACCCTGTGGAGCCACCGAACAGGAGGGCTGAAGATGTATTCCGCCCCCCTACCTATATTCTTTTGCCTGCGTACCACATGTGGAAGACCTCTTCACTCTGCTCGAACCCACGCATTAACACTGGACCTAAGATCGGAAATGAGGATGTCGAACGCTTCAGAGCTGTGCAAAACATTCTTGTCACACTCTCCAGGCTCGCGTCTACAGCACGATATCAGTCCTCGGAGTGCTGAGGCTGAGCCTGTAACAATGTTCGCTTGCGATGGCGGACCATAATCTGAGGTAGCAGATAGGTTCGTGTCAAAAGTGCGACGCCTGAACAACAATCTAGATTCAACTGATGAACCGCCTATACTATGACCATTTCGTCTCTACTCATCAGATGAATGGCAGAATGTGTCAGGAGCTTTCGAGCCCACCGCTTTTATGAAGGTCTGGGAATGTCAGCGCGGCGGCATGCGTTGGGTTTTCTTCACGCCAAGTCGCTGAGCTATTAGCATTGCTGGAAGATCCTTCAACTCTCTATGAGATAGGTCTCGTGGCAGATTTTACTTTGCGTAAGGGGAGACTTCATTTACCGAACTCGATGTTAAACAAGGATGGAGGTCCGCCTCTCATCGCCAAGTCGATAGCTATTCCAATAGTTGCAGCCGTAAGCTTACAATATTATGTCGATATTCTTGCTCTTTAGCCCTCACGTGGGAAAGGTGTTTGCTGCCAGGAGTTCACCGCATCGGGTCAATAAACCAACACTTCACATCGCAGGGGAGAGCTTTCAGGCAGACTCCGTTCAGCCCTTCTTCATGCCATCCCCCCCATGGTCATCACGATGTATCGTGTTATGAGGGCTCTAGTCTTGAGGTACAACCTCCTGGGGCAATGCGCCTGAGTAATGCGCTTGGAAGTCAAGGCCGAGCCAAGACTAATTGGATATGGCGCAGGCTGAGCCGCCCAGGTGCATGACCATCTGCACGTAAGCACCCCTCACTTCACAGCAAGTATTTGCAGGCAACTCAAACTGCCAATCGCAAGCAAGCTAGTGTCACCATGTACTCCTCAGGAGGCTAGCGAGCCTTGAGAAGCGCTCTGCAAGGTTGTGCCTCACGCTGCGCCACGACCCACACGAGCTGTGCTGGTAGGTACAGAGTTGATACGTGTACGCGTTTCGGCGGTTCAAGATATGGCTCGAGGATGCCCAAGCTGTGTGCATGCAGAGTCCAATGCATAACGATGCACCGCTTCACAGAGGTCTCGAGCCGTCAGACACGATGTGGAGTCGAGAAGGCGCGGCGTGCACTGGAAGCATTGCTTCTGCCTGCCCTACAAGTGCGGGGCAGGCCGGTCAGGACGTTTCGACGGAGGAGAGGGGGAGGAGGAGACATAAATAAGCAATAGGCCACGCACACAGCGAGTGAAGGTATTACGCCATTCTCTTCCTCAACGACAACATCAGCTTGCCAAGAGGTCACATACTGCTCGACAGCGTCAGCAGCAGCAGCAGATCATATACTGATCAACAGCACCACCGCCCTCACCGGTAACACACAATGTCCACGCCCATCACGTTCTACGACATCGGGCCTGCGCCCGCCGGCGGCAAAGAACTGCTGCTCCGCCGAACCCCTGAAGACGCGGTTCCGCCTCCAACTTCAAGGCGCTGCCCACACAACCAAGTGGGTGGCGCTGCCCGACATTGTCAACCTGCGGACGACGCTCAAGGTGGCGCCGACACGCAAGTTCGCCGACGGCAGCGACTTCTTCACGCTGCCCATCATCGAGGACGCGTCGACGGGCACGACGCTCGGCGACTCGCTCGACATAGCCGTCTACCTGCAGCAGACGTACCCTTCAGCAGGCGAGGGCGACCTCTTCCCCGAGCAGCCGCTCGACTACACCTTCGACCCGGCCGAAGGCCTGCTCGTGCCGCTGTCGGCCGTGCGCGACAGCCCGTACCCGGCGTACGCGACGTTCACGTCACGTCGACGCGCTTTCACGGCGTACACGCAGCTCACGACGGTCGGTCCCGGTTGACCCGTCAACGAGCGGCGACAGGCATCTTGTCGACGCGCGCGGCGTACATGACGTCGTGGAGATCGCGCGGCGACGACAGGGTGCGCATGCTCGCGTCGTTCGAGGCGACGCTCGCCCCGCTGGCGGTGCTCTACGGGCGCGACGCGGGCGGGCCGTTTCTGCTGGGGGCGCGCGCGAGCTATGCTGACTTTATCGTCGGCGCCTGGCTGCGCATGTTCGACGTGACGCTGCCGGCAGAGGAGTGGCAGCAGGTGCGGGCGTGGCACGGCGGCATCTTTGGGCGGTTGCACGACGGGCTGCAGGCGTACGCCGAGGTGAAATAGATGAAGTTGAAGCATGAGCAGCCATGATGCTACCTACAACCTGGCTACCTTAGGTTCCTAGGTTCCTAGGTGAGTAGGTTGGTAGGTACCTAGGTAGGTATAGATATTCATAGATATGTAGGGAGTTATATGCAGCATGCCCACATTGCGTGGCTGAGCTGTCGAGTCACCTCTACATCCCGAGGCAGGAGGTAGAGGCAGAAAGAAGGCAGAGACAGGAGACAGGCACTAGACAGGCAGGAGGCTGAGGCTGAGGCAGCAAGAGGCAAGAGGAGGAGGAGCAGGAGACAGGCTGGCGACGGGCAGGAGACAGAGGCAGCAGGAGAAGAGGGGGAGGAGTATGACTCGCACGCAATGAATGGCAAGAGCGATCGATGCTGTGGGGCGATGAATGCACACTTTCCCCACCTCGATGTGTCCGTCGTCAGCTGCCAGTGAGGGGCTTCATTATGCCCGACTTCAAACTATGGCCCTCATCTGATGACCATCATTCAATTCCCAGCCTGGAATTCCCAAACCTGGCACCCGACACGCAGCGTCAAGCCCAGACTCCATCTTAGTGCACCCTCATCCCTCGCGTCGAGGGCAGCATGGCCATCTCGCATCGTGGCCTGAGAACGAACGAACGAGCATGAGCCACCGACAGTCCCCCAGCGCCTCCACCGACTATGAGCCGACACTTTCGCCATGGGAGGTCGATGTGTTTGACGGGCAGCACGACGGCGACGGCGACAAGGACAACGGTAGCGGCGTCGTCATGGCTACATGGTCAGACCGGCAGCTGTCGATGACACTCAGTGCGTGTCCTGCTTCTTCCATCCGAGTTCCCCAGCTGACAGCCGCAGCACAATCGCCCGGCCACTCACGAGACCTGTTCGACCGTGCTTCCGACACTGTCTTTGGCAGTGCTCTCGACAGTGCTCTCGAAGGTGGCATCGTGGAGGGCATTCTCAAGGACAGCCCAGCTCGCAGTGATGACCGGGCTCTCGACGACAGTTTCGCTTACAGTGACGACAAGACCATTGGCAAGACCATCGACAAGACCAGCGACAGGACCAGCGACAGGACCAGCGACAGGACCAGCGACAAGACGGCCAAGGCCCTACCACCCGAGACGCACTCACTCTGCCGCCCTTGGGACCGCCACCTCATCGCCCAGTTCGCCGTCGAGGCCCGCGACCACCACGCCCGCAACGCCCCGCTGCCCCTGCACCTCGTGCCCGTCATCCGCTTCAACATCTGGCACGCCCTCGCCTCCAACGCCGCCGTACTCGGAATGGACAGCGACTGGCTCTACTACGACGCCATCTCACCCTTCAACAAGGCCGGCCCGCGCCTCGGCCCCGCCGCCCTGCCCGCCGCCTGCCCCGCGAGCCTGTGCCTCGTGCCCCTGCAGCCGCGTGTCGAGCACCACCCCTGGATCGACCTGCTGCCCTTCCCCGCGCTGCGCGCCAACTTTCTGCGTCACATCATGCTGTTTGGCGAGGACAGCATCGACGAGGACGACTTGTGCCGCGACATTGTGCAGGGGGCCGTCGGCGCCGACGTCGCCGTCACGGACGCTGCGACCCTCCTTGTCTGGGGCGAGTCGTGGGATCCCATGGGCTGGGAGGCGACGGTGCCCTTTCTACGCAAGTGGGCCTGGTTGTTTGCCGGCAGCACCGACATTCTCGCGTCGACCAACTATTGGCGCCGGCAGCGGGGGGAGACGCAGCTCAGGTTTTGAGTGACATGGCACGATTTTGGTGGGATTTTGGTGGGACTAGGTGTTTGTAGCGGTACTTGTATATGAATGGTATGATGGACCGAAAACGCGATGCATCGACCTGACTATGCCACTCACACAACAGCAGTCTGCAAACGCTCCACATCATGCTCCATCATGCGAGCCCCCTTCAGCCACAGCCTTCAGACTGCCCATCCACCGCGCAAACCCATCATACAGCTCGCCCTGCTTCGACCACTTCAGCACGGGCGCCACGAGCCCGCCAAACGTTTCCCAGCTGTAGTACTCGGTCGCGACGACGACGCCGTCCTCGCCCACGACCTCGACGAGCTCCTGCACCCGCTCGGAGTGCAGCACGACGTGCGGCAGGCTCTCGAACCGCCACGCGACGCGGTACCCCTTGCGCCCGTCGCCTTCGCGCTCAAATGCCTCGAGCGCCGTGACGACCTCGCGCGGCCGGTTCGGCGCCGCGGCGTCGGGCGTCATGTACGCCGCAAACGTCGCCCGCACCCCCGGGTACAGGTACCCCGGCCGGCCGACGGCGAGGGCCTGCAGCTCGGGCGCGTTGAGGGGCGCGACGTCGGCGGCGGCCGGCGCGTGGGTCACCGTGGCAGACTTACAGAAGGCGTTCCACGCCGGCCAGGTCGTCGTGTCGAGGAGCTTGGCGAGGACGGCGAGCGGCGGCGCTGCGATGGTGGTGGAGCAGATGACGGTGAAGCTGGGCAGGGCGCTTGGCGGCAGCGTCGGGGTGGCTAGCGTCGGCACGATCTTGGGGGCCTGACCCAGGGCGAAGGGGGCCATGATGTGGTGCGGTGTGCCGTGATGTACTGCGGTGTGCTGTGCTGTGATGTGCTTCTGTGACGTGCTTCTGTCATGCATGTCAGAGGCGATGAAGCTGTCGCGAGAAGCTGTCGCGAGAAGCTGTTGCGATGACGGATGAGATGACGAAGCAGAGAAGCACGGACGTTCACCTTTTGCTGCTCGCCGACCTCATTTCATCGGCAGAACCTTATCTCGCCTGCGTGTCAGGATGTGCTGCCCGCGACAGGGGAGGCCGCCGAGGATTCCGTAATGCCGGACTGCCGCCCTGGAGCTGTCGTGCTGATACTTTCGCGCAAGGGAGGTCAAGTCAATGGCCGAAAGCGGGGTTGAGAATGAGGACAGCCTCAATGACAAATTTTGAGTGCTCAGCTTTCCATCGCCGTGCCTACAATGACGCTCCTCCATCTCAACTGATCAGTGGAGATTGCAGCTCACCTGGAAATAGAACGAATGATTGCGTGACCCTGTCATCGACAGCCTCTCGTCTGAGCGTCCAGGAACTGTCCCGACGCAGTCGACATGCTTCACACCCTCGCACACCTAACCACTTCGAAGAGAGCGCACCCGCAACCGGCCCGGACCTCACGATCGGAACCCCACCCCGTCCAACACTCGATCAGGACATGATCTCGCCATGAACCCGACAGGGTCCATGCTCCGGCGT